GGTATACAAAAACATATTCAAACTAACTATTTATCTTATACTTACTGTTATACTTACTTGGAAATACAATTTAGTAGTGGTACTCCATGTGCAATCGGCTTAGAGAAAAAAAAGCAAATAAACATAAACATATTCAATTATATTATTTTGAATTATTTGAATATTTACATACATTTGAAATACTCACAGTTTAGTGGTGGTACTCTGTGGTGCAATCTACTTTGTAATTGACGAGAGTGTGGTAGCGGGCAAAGCATGGTATGGCGCACATCGGCAGGTCACATTCCTTACACATGCAGTCGGTTTGATGGCGCTTCACATTCCTATTTGAACACACTACGCAGTCAGGTTTGGATTGCCTTCCAGCTGGTGTCTTCTTTTGGCTGAAGGCTGGAAAATGTCTCTCAGTTAACCGTGTTGGTGGACCCACTGACCTCCTCCCTGGATGGGATGAAGGTCGTGTGTATGTTTCGAGCAGGCTGTCTATAAGCTCGAGACTTAGATGATCGGCCCTTACTCGCTAACCAGCACGGAAACACCTGTAAATAATCAAAGCATTAATCCAACTTACATCTATAAGGTAAATGAATACCCTCTTCCACCATTTGAGGCTCCTGTGAATATGAAGATGTGTCCAACTCAATCTGTCAGCCTTGTCTACCCCTCCCATGTATTGTGTGTAAAATTCAATGGCACACGGCTTGGTAACTTCACGAAAGTTTGGTCCATGTTTTTCCCTTGTCCGCCTCTGAAAAGTCAAAGAATTATGCACAGAAGACATTAGTGTTACCTTTTTTGTGTTTGCTTCTGTCTCTTATACACATCTAGATGTGTATAAGAGACAGGGGTTAGGGTTAGGCAAAGTGAGATAGGCTGAAACAAACACTATTCCATTGAAAGTTTAGAGTTAGGGTTAGGGTTAGAGTTAGGGTTAGAGTTAGGATTAGGGTTAGGGTTAGTGTTAGGTTCAGGGTTAAGGTTAGGCTTAGGCAAAGTGAGATAGGCTGAAACAAACACTATTCCATTGAAAGTTTAAAGTTTTTCGGAAAAGTACTCGAAAAGATGTGTATAAGAGACAGGGGTTAGGGTTAGTGTTAGGGTTAGAGATAGGGTTAGGG